TTCAGAGAAAAATGACAACATTTGAATAAAATGCAAGAAAGAAAACATCACATTTTAAACCCTTGATATTTCTATTGATTCTTCACATTCTGCGATTGAAAGATAGTTCCCCAGGTTTAGTTTTCCTCTATCTATTCCAGGAGATTTTATGATGAATATTTTGCTGAATATATAATTCTGAGTTGACTGTTCTTTCATTACTAGAAAACAATCATAGTCCCATTCTTTCTGGCCCCCATGCCCATGAGAAACCCACTACTATTTCTGCTCAAGGTCTCTGCTCCAGAAAAAGAATGTAGCCTATTACTGAAAAAAAAGAGATATAAAGAGAGATCTGCCAACCTCCAGGCCATGGTGCCCAGTGAAAAAGATGGAGGGGAGAAGCTCCATTCTCATGTGGAGATAAAGTCTTTATAGGCAAAATGGCTTTTTCTCTGGATCACTCTTTCCCAGTTGTTTGGCTACAGTGATCAGGTTTTCCTTGGGTTGGTTTTTGTTTTGATTTCTTGATGCCATTTAGTTATTCATGTATGTGTGTGGTTTTGTTTTTTCTTTTTATATCTTGGCTGAAACTCTGGTCCATGCACATACACAGACACACATAAATACACACACACACACACACACACACACACACACACCATTGGGTAGTTCCTTGAATCTTGAGGTCACTAACCTATCTACAGTAAGTCCCCAACTTACAGACAAGTTCCATTCCAGGAGAACAATCATAAGAATGATTCATTCCAAGTCTGCAAAGTTAGTCTTATACAGTGTACCTGTGAAAGTTCCAACTCAAATGTTCAGAAGTTGGGGTCTTACTGTATGCTGACCTAAGGCAGTGGGCACATCCTACTGTTCTGGATTATGCATTTTTTTGAAAATCTGAGGAAAGCTTAGGGAATGCACCAACACTCAGTGTTTTGCGTGTGCATTTTAGGGGTCCAGAAAGCCCTTAAGTGCCTATGCCATGGATTCCCTTTGAGGCTCTTAGTCCTCCTTTGAAGTAAATCACCTGTGCAGTCAAGCTGAGACTGTCTCTAACAGACTGTGTGGGTAGAGGAAGGATTTCTACTTGCTGGTCATCATCTGACAGCTGTGAATGCCCACAGAAGCAGTTTCTTCAAAATTTCTTTTAAAGAAACCCTCAAAAAAGGCCCTGATTCTGCTTTAAGAAACTAAGGAAATGTTACCCTTTAGTCACTGAAAATACCCACATTTCTCTCTCTAGGCTGGTGTCTGTCTGGATCCTTTCTGGGACACGTAATACAGCTTAAGCACATGATTTCTCTTGCATCACACATAGGGAATCAGGATTAATTCCATCCAGGTGTGGAGAATATTTGAAGTGGTGTTTGTTTGGCAGCACAGATTGAGTCCACTGATGTTTCACACCTTTTAGAATTCCCAGTGCTCAGCACTGCACAAGACAATACCCCCCTCACACACAAA